TTTTTTTCACTTCCGATATACAGAATGATCCTTTCACATCACCTTAAAATCCCTGATTTCCTGAGTGGGATTGTTACAAAACGCAAATGTCTAAAATTAATTATTTATTCCCGAATGATTGGCTAAATCCGCCTGCATGACTAATTTTTTTTAGTCATGCAGTCAGATGTGTGAGCGCAAATATTGGTGCAACCGATCCTTGCAAAAGTGCAGTTTGTCGTTGCTTTTCCAGGTGAGATGAACAGCGGGGGTAGCGGGGGTGGGGGTGGGGGCGGGGGCGACGGAGTGGGGGGCTTCGGCCTCGGCATCGGAGTGGGGGTAGCCGGAGGGCCTAGCCTCGCCGCGGCGCAGCAGGGCCAGGGCGTCGCGGCGCTGCTGGTCATGCTGGCCGTCCTCTGCTTCATCTTCGCCTACTGCTGCTGGGGCGCCCCCTTCTGCAGGTCCCTCTGCAGGAGACACTGCTGCTGTCGGCTGGAGGACCCCGAGCCCGAGTCTCGATTCGGTAGCAGCGACCAGACCATGGTCGCCACGCCGACTATCATTCTCCTGCCCCATGGCAGAATGCTCGTCGTCGATAGAACCATTTTCACGCAGTTCCAGGCCGACACTACCGGTCAGTTGGCGTTTATTCTAGGAACACGTTTTAACCCTCTATGGGCCCGTGTAACTTTCAGGCTACACTTGAAATGAAAAATTTTTTTTCATTTGCATATATAGGTTCCTAATTGCTGATTTTTCGTTCCCCCAATTTGTTTTTATTTAAAACAAAAATTCGGCCCTTAGAGGGTTAAGGGGATGTGAAAGTGGTGTCCGAAAGCTCAATTGTTCATAAAACTTTTCATAGAACTGGGTGTCTCAAATCGTTTCATACTTTAAAACACCTTAAGGTGATATGAAAATGGCATATGCGTATTTTAAAATCAAAACATCTATAACACTTTTCATCGTCATCAAACTGATACTACCGGTTAGTTAGCGTTTATTCTAGGAACACGTTTTAAGGTTATATGAAAATGCCAGATACGTACTTTTCATCGTCACCAAACCGACACTACCGGTTAGTTAATGCTTATTCTAGGAACACGTTTTAAGGTGATATGAAAATGCCAGATACGTATAAAAAAATCAACATATCACACATTTCATCGTCATCAAACCGACACTACCGGTTCGTTAGCGTGTATTCTAGGAACACGTTTTAAGGTGATATGAAAATGCCAGATACGTATCAAAAAATCAACATATCTGTCACACCTTTCATTGTCATCAAACCGACACTACCGGTTAGTTAGCGTTTATTCTAGGAACACGTTTTAAGTTGATATAAAAATGCCATATACGTATCAATAAATCAAAACATTTATAAAACTTTTTATCAAACTGGGTGCACCGAATAATTTTAAACTTTAACACGTGATTATGGAGGCCCTAATGAATGTCTCCGAACTCACGAAATTTCATCTATCGAAAATAAATTGTTTATTTATCCCGCGACAAGAAACTAAGAGAAACTTTTTTCGGAAAATGAGATTTTCTGAATTTTAAGACCTTCTTTAGGACCTCCATAATCACGGGTTAACGTTTCAAATTATGCGGGGCACCCAGTTTGAGGAAAAGTTTTTTAAATATGATAGAATGACCCTCTCGATTCGTAATTTCATTGCACCTTTCTAAACAATAAGGTACATACGTTCGTAATATGGCATATTTATTCTGACGTGTTTGGATAAAATGTGATATGGAATTATCAACATAATTGTGTATTGTTTTAGACTTCAGTGGTTTATCTTAACTGAATGAAAATTTTTGTATATGGCAGGTTTGGATTTGGTCGAACTGGGCGAAAGTGTAATTCGAGCTCAGAGAAATCCTAGAACGGTAACGCGTCACCAATTGCAGAGCAGTCAAGGTAGCATTTTGGATATGGATGCAGAAACACCCAGCAAAGACAGTTTGGGATCCATTGGTTGTTTTCCGCCTCCAACTTATGAGAGCATCTACGGAAAAGAAGAGGGAGATATGCCGCCTTCCTATTCCGACATTTTGCTACACAGGTCTGTCGATTTCTGTGAAAACATTTAATCATGGGAGAAATTTCTAATCGTACACGTGGGAAAACAAAAATACATTAATTGAACAAAATCGTTTGATTCACATTTGGTCCAGGAAACGTTTTGGTTGAGAGAACTGAATTTAAGTTCACATGAACAATCTCTGTTGTTTCGGTCACATCAAGTGAAGTGAAACACGTCGAGAAATTTCATCGACGTCGATAAAAAAAATATTTCTAAATACCTACGTTACCAACCTTCGTAATTATATCGATAGCTGTGTCGAACTATATTGGGTATTGCATTAAATGGCATACTCTGTATGTCGTTTCCGTACAATAATGATAAAGAAATCGAAGCAAAACTCCAGAAATCTCCTAAATCCATGGTTTTTAATGCTCGGATTGACTGAAGAATGCCACCCTGCGCCATCTGTAATTTCAGTTTCAACTAAATTTTCTATCATCGCTATCACAAAAGCGCATAAGACTCATTTTTTGCCTTCATTTACCGCGGAATTTTCTTCAAATTTATTGTCTAATATACGTACCCATATATTGCAGACATTTAAGGTAATATGAAAGGATCATTCTACATATATCAAAGTATCGTAATATTTATAAAACTTTTCTCCAAACTGGGTGCACCAAATTATCTAAAACTTTAACACGTGATTATGGAAGCTTTGAGGAAGAGCACGCTGCCCTTGAAATTTCATTTTTCGCAAAAAAAAAAGTATCTTTTTCTCTTTCTTGTCCGATGAGTAGAAAATTGTTTCGTGAAAAATGAAATTTCATGAGCGTTATTCCTTAGGGCCTCCATAATCACGTGTTAAAGTTTGAGATAATTCGGTGCATCCAGTTTGGAGAAAGGTTTTATAAATATTTTGACTTTATCTTATNTATGGTATATATATATCACACATTCATATCACCTTAATTCAGGAAAAGGTCTGGAAATTGTTAATATAAATCGATAGTCCGCATCATACGATGACCATGAATTTCTATTTGGATGCAGATTCGCAAACCTGCCATACGAGATCGAGATGCAGGAGTTCTGTCAAGACGGGAAGGAGGATGTAGAAATGCGCAGCTTGGAAAGCTGTCCACACATAATAAGCAACCCCATAAACCCACTAAACTACCCATACGCGACCATAACGAGTCTGTCGGGTCAGAGTCTCGCCCGTCAGAGCCTCGCCAGACGACACTCCGTGATCAGCAATCCATTGGACGACTATTACGTCGACAATGAGCTCGAAGGCTACGGGATAGGTCGTTTGGAAGCTTTCAGACCTCCCAGTGGTCGCAGCATCCTGCGTTCGCATAACAACCTGTCCCGGGCCTCGACCAACTCGAACGAGTGCGTCAATCGAGAGGTTCCCGACAATCGACACCCTGAAGACATAACCCTGACCACGTTCAGGGCCAGTCAAGAGCATCTTCAGGAAGAGAGCCAAAGGACGAACGAAGAGGGCCAACGAATCGGCCAGACGGCACGAAGTCGGATACGGCGAATCGAGAATGAAACTATGAACACGAGGAACCGCATCGGGAGTCCGTCTTGTTCGCGTCGAGAGGTGGACCCTGACCACGTGGACAGGGCTCTTCAGGGTCCTGGGGGAGCGGAGACCTCGAATGTCGAGAGCGGTTCCTCGATAACCCCTAGGAGGGTGGCGGAGAGACTGCACTCTGGAAACGCGAATCGAGGCACGGAAGGTGAGAACAACGAGGCGGGGTACAGGAACGTCAGGTTTCGCATCTCCCTTGTCACGGAGGATCAACTAGATGGTAATCCAGGTGTAAGTGGGGACCACGCGGAAGGAGGTAATGCGTATGAAATCCAAAGAAATTCTACGAGTGAGTCGGTTAATATGGAGGATGATAGCAGGAACTTCGGGGCACTAGCGGATATCAGAGAGAGCAGGGTCTAGGAGGTAGAGGGAACACTGTGAACGGGAGGGACTGTAATAAAGGTTCACCGTGTTTGCATTGAGAAGGGGATAATTGTTATGTATGCAATGGTCATGTGGACCGTGGTCATGTGTTCACTGATCATGGGAACAGTAATTATGTGGACGTTGATAGTGTGAACACTGATCATGTGGACCGTGGTCATGTGTTCACTGATCATGGGAACAGTAATTATGTGGACGTTGATAGTGTGAACACTGATCATGTGTTCACTGATCATGGGAACAGTAATTATGTGGACGTTGATAGTGTGAACACTGATCATGTGTTCACTGATCATGGGAACAGTAATTATGTGGACGTTGATAGTGTGAACACTGATCATGTGTTCACTGATCATGGGAACAGTAATTATGTGGACGTTGATCGTGTGAACACTGATCATGTGAACAGTAATTATGTCATTTCGGCATTTTTATCAGGGCACAGTGGAATTTATCGGAGACCAAGGAACTTGAGAAAATCCTAAACGGTTCAATGAAATACTCGAAGAAATTCGGAATTTCTAACATGAGCGTAAAAAATACATAACTAGGAATGAGCTATATACGTACCTACACTGATAAAAATCGATGGAAATTTACATACATTTTTGTATACCTTACAGATGAAGGTTTACGTAGGAGAACGTAAAAAGGAAAAATTGCAAATTGGAAAATGCATAAATACACATAAAATTGTATATTCACCGTATCAATGCATTCCTATTTGAATTACACGTAACTTATCTGTAATGTATTGTGCCATCAAAATGACCAATGATTGTGTATGTAAATTTACACCGGCATTTTAATCAGGGTACAGTGAAATTTATCGGAGACCAAGGAACTTGAGAAAATCCCAAACGACTCAATAAAATACCGGAAGAAATTCGGAATTTGTAACATGAGCATAAAAAATACATAACTAGGAATGAGCTATGTACGTACCTACACTGATATAAATCGATGTAAATTTACATACATTTTTGCATACCTCACAAATGAAAGTTTACGTAGGAAAACGTAAAAAGGAAAAATTGCAAATTAAAAGATGCATAAATACACATAAAATTGTATATTTACCGTACCAGTGCATTCCTACTTGAATTGCGTACCTCACAAATGCACATTTTTGCATACCTCACAAATGAAAGTTTACGTAGGAAAACGTAAAAGGGAAAAATTGCAAATTAAAAGATGCATAAATACACATAAAATTGTATATTTACCGTACCAGTGCATTCCTACTTGAATTATATGTAACTTATCTGTAATGTATTGTGCCATCAAAATGACCAATGGTTGTGTATGTAAATTTACACCGGCATTTTAATCAGGGTACAGTGAAATTTGTCGGAGACCAAGGAACTTGAGAAAATCCTAAACGGCCCAATGAAATACTCGAAGAAATTCGGAATTTCTAAGATGAGCATAAAAAATACATAACTAGGAATGAGCCATGAATAGAATTTGTGCCAACCGATCGTCAAAGTCAAGTTAAGAAGACTCAGGAAGAATAGTAATGGCAGTAGATTACGGATTACTTATTAGAGCATGTAGATTGAAGGGAGGAACTTATAAACAGGATGTTTCCACTAAACATTATGAAATTTTGAAAGCGAAACGAGAACTTATGAAATTTCGGAAGGATCTCAAAATACTCTTTGACGGTCGATGCAGTAAGGTTTAATGACATGATTAATTACTGGAGCAAAAAAACAAAAAAGAAATGTAAAGCATACCAGAGGGTGATTAAAGTACGGAATATTAAATTTTCACGGGAGAGATAATTCACAATCGCGTACTAATGAATAATGAAGTAAATACTAATTAATCGAGAAGAAAATTCGGAATGGAATTACGATGGGGAAGAAAATTGAAAGAATTATGCCACGAGTTATTTGATATCGAAATGACGTTATCGTGATATTACGCTTGAACAATAGTCATTGAAATTCGGTATGATCCTCATTGCATCCCGGCAATGAATTAAATAGCTGCATTCTGATGAGTCTGAGGAAGAAATGTGCGTACTTAGATTTTTACATTACGTCGAAAGATCTACGGAGACATTCTAAGGGATTTGAATGCGAAAGAGCATCATGGAAGAGGCTCTACTTTTTAATTTTCTCAAGATAGAGAAGAACGAACGTAACTTGCAAATAAGAAGAGGATAATTAACGAATTGAAAGCAATCAGTTGTAGCAATTAGGCACGTGTATACGTGCGGCGGGTATAACAATACACTGAAAATTGTAATGGACAACTCAGTGAACGATATTTTCAATGTACACAGTGCCGATAAAGGTTTTGTCAGATCCGTAATATCTGTTCGGTTTGGCTTCGATTGCGAGGTTTAAAGGGGGAAATATTTTCCGAACGCTATTTCTAGACTTAACGTAATGTCAAAGTTGCGGGAAAAAGGTCTTGCTTATGGAACCTTTTTTTCCGAACTTGGTGTACCGAATCGTTCAAACTTTATAACATGAATTTTTTTTTTAACTTTAATGAATGGCTCCGCTACGGAGACATTCGTCATTATGTTCCGAAACTTGCTGAGCGCTAAGGGTTAATATTTTTTTTTATAGAAAATAAAATTCCGCGAACTTAAATTTTTTCTTTAATTTGTTCGTAGGTATTCTTAATATTTTTTTTATAGAAAATGAAATCCCGCGAAATTAAATTTTTTTTTTATTTGTCCGTAGGTATTCTAAATATTATTTTTATAGAAAATGAAATTTCGCGAGTGTTAGAACCTTCCTTGTAACCTTCATATTCACATTGTAAGGTTTAAAACAATTCGGTACACCCAGTTTGGAAAAAAGTTTCATAAACGAGAGATTTTTGACGCCACTATCGCATCCCCTTAACGAAGTACATGATTTGCAATTATACAATTAAGGACATATTGTAGGGCTGCTTAAGACAAGCATTTACGAAATGTGCACAAACGTGTACATTACCAGCCGAGGACCACACAACGTGCTTTTTGCGAAAGAAAAAGCTAAGTAATTGTTGAACTGCTTATGCGTCACAGCAACAATTAATTCGCTTACATCAATCCGTGTACATAATTTATTCTCTTAAATAGGAATTGTTAACACTTTTTCGGAATCCCCGGAAAAAAAAAAGAAGCACCGTTCATTTAATGGTTCAGGTACAATCTTGAAACATGTTCTGTGTACGCTGAGAAAAAAAAAACATTAGTTGGCTCAACAAAATATGCATTGCGGCAACAAAATCCTGCGAGCAAATAAATCGAGAAAAATGTCAGACTGAGTAAACAACATTTGTTTATATCAACGTCAATTTTTCTTCTCAAGAAAATGCTTCTCGCAATTATAGGTGATTCAGGCTACAATATATATTTCTTTCCGTCAATTAATCTTTTTTTTTTCTCGGCGTACTAATTTTGTTTCAAGCTTCGTGAACAAAGTCCACTGGTTAATCGATAACTATTTGTTTCTTATTTATAAAATAAATTCCGGCTGAGTAATAAGCTAACACGCGACGTGTAATATTATTCATTGACCAAACAAGTGCTGACTACGCAAGCTTATTAAATCGTTGATTATGCAAATATGGAGGGTGTTACATGAGGTTACATAAACAGTGGCCAAATTTCGTATGTATGGATATTTCAGGTGATATGAAAGTGTCATATATACGTACCAAAAAGTCATAATATTTATATAATTTTTCTCTAAACAAAGTGCACCGAATCATTTGAAACTTCATCAGGAGATTATGGAGGCCCTAAGGAAGAACTCGAAGCTCGTGAAAGTTCATTTTTCACAAAAAAAAGTCATCTTCCTTCTAGTCTAGGCTAAATAAAACAAATCTTTTTTTTTTTAATCAAATTTTACGAGCATCGTGTTCTTCCTTAAGGTCTCCATAATCACGTGTTAACCCTTTGGCTACTAAGAGCGCCTGAAGGCGCCCGACGTTTGGTCCAATATTGCCTGCACGGTCAGACGAATTTCGCCCTTATGTCGAAATGGCTCCGTGTTCAAAGGAATAAATATTTCCTTGGTTCATCGAAATTCTTTTTAATAATTATTCTTCGAATTAACGAAATATCTCTTTGGTGCTATTCAATTAACGCGTTGGTTACTAAGAGCGCCTATACGAGCCCGACGTTTGGTCCAATATTGCCTGCACGGTCAGACGAATTTCGCCCTTATGTCGAAATGGCTCCGTGTTCAAAGGAATAAAGTTTCATATAATTCGGTGCATCCAGTTTGGAGAAAAGCTTTATAAATATTTTCACGTTTTGATATATATATATAAAATGACCCTTTCATATCACCTTAATGATCCAACGATAATAATCATTCTTCAGTTGGCTAATCATTTTTGTACTGCGACTACATTTTAGACTCCGAATTGCGATGCGATTGTTCGCCAAAATTGACCCGATATCGCCTAACAATATCAGTTATCTCTCTCTTCCTATCAGTGGCTTGCTTCTATCATTTTAAATTAACATAAACCCTTACCAATGCTCACTGCTTATGAAACAAGACATGCCGATAATAATATTAAGCTTCGGTAAACAATAATTTACAATAATGCTCGAAGTGCAGGACGGGTGGGTACTGTAAATACGTTATCAATTATGGATATGTACTTTGGATAAATTTGTCATGTTTTCACCAAGACAAGATAGCTTTTTAATTCGACTTGAGAGGGACCCCTAGTAGCACAGAATAATTTTCGTTGCAATCTTTATTAAATATCTCAAAGGACAGATTTTTTTAAGATCTCTCGTGGATTTCATCCTAAGATATCCAAAATATTTCTTGATAATCTCTATAACATATTTATGTATAAACATATATAATTTATAAACATGTAATAAGGGTACATTTTCTAATTTACGATTATTAGCGGACACTTCATTTGGTATTAAAAAAAAAACGACAAATCTTTGCAATATTTTTATTCCGCTATGATTATATTTCAAAACGTGTGATTTTTATTGTAAATGTCTTTTAAAACGTTTACAATGTATTTAGCAGATAATATAAAGAAAAAAGCACTTATGTTACAATGAAACGAAACGTTTCGTATATATGTAAGAAAAGTATTACGAAAACACGTGGAGCTAATATTATATAAATATGAAAATAATATTCCGAAGTAAATGCATTGCAAATATTACAAATGTCTGCTGAATATTTACAAGATGTACGATACTCGTTAAATGTATTGGAAATGTAAGAAAATTTTTCGTGCTACTAGGGACATGTTCTAGCCTACATTTCATGTTATTGTGCATTTAATCAAAAATAGGTGTCACATAGATTGTGCATACAATTGCTGCCTCGCACTTGACGTCCAGGTTTTCCTTTTTCCATATACGCTCATGATTGTATACTAGATGATTACACATGTAACTGTTACGTATATAAGCCATTTAAGCATTCTATACGAGAATATATTGAAAGTGATAGCATAAACCAAAGTGAAATTACGAAATAACAGCATAACAAAGTGTCCGTCGACAGAATCGAATACAATCTGCAGAAAAATTGACTGGCCCCCAAAAACAGTCATTTCTGTAATAAATATATATGACAGCGATACGGATTTCCTTCGGTAAAGGATCACGACGCTTTCGTTATGATTTAAATGTAACAATATATTTTTCAAATGGCTGGCTTTCGGATGTCACTCAAATAGAATAGTCCGTCCATGCGGAAGAAAATAAGTACACAAATCTATCTGCTATACTCGGCAACGGCGATATCATTATTTATATAGAGTGGGTCATATGAAAGGTCCACAATTGGTGGAACTTTTGAAGGCACGTCTGTTCCTTGATAAATTCAAAATCACAGTCGATTAATTTCATTCCGCTGATATAAACATACGCAACCAAGGGTGGTGATGGTTTCTAAAACTCTTGAAGTTACTGTTAATGATGAAAAATCAATTATTCCACCTGTGAACTCCTTACGAGTTCTGTTATAAACATTTTTTTTATATAAACATACGCAACCAAATGTGGTGGTGGTTCCTAAAATTCTCAAAGTCACTGTTAATGATGAAAAATCAATTATTCCACCTGTGAACTCCTTACGAGTTCTGTTATAAACATTTTTTTTATATAAAAATACGCAACCAAGTGTAGTGGTGGTTCCTAAAATTTTCGAAGTCACGGTTAAGGATGAAAAATCAATTATTCTACCCGTGAAATTCGTATGGGTTCTGTTATAAACATTTTTCGGATATAAACATACGCAACCAAATGTGATAGTGGTTTCTAAAATTCTCAGTCACTGTTAATGATGAAAAATCAATTATTCCACCTGTGAACTCCTTACGAGTTCTGTTATAAACATTTTTTTTATATAAAATTACGCAACCAAATGTGGTGGTGGTTCCGAAAATTCAAAATCACAGTCGATTAATTTCATTCCGCTTATATAAACATACGCAACCAAGGGTGGTAGTGGTTCCTAAAATTTTCGAAGTCACTGTTAATGATGAAAAATCAATTATTCCACCTGTGAACTCCTTATGAGTTCTGTTATAAACATTTTTTTTATATATAAATACGCAACCAAATGTGGTGGTGGTTCCGAAAATTTTTGAAGTCACTGTTAAGGATGAAAAATGAATTATTCAACCCGTGAAATCCTTATGGGTTCTGTTATAAACATTTCTGAAGTCTGGTTGAATGTGATTATCTTAATCAAATTCCTCAGTTAAGAATACAAGTTTCTAGTACAAAGTTCTTGTTCTACTCAGGAATTCTTTTTCGATTTAATAGAAAAATTATTAGCGTAATCAGATATTTTAATAGTGTCTTCCTAGATCTACTTTATTAATACCTGATATTTTTAACTGAAAAAAATAATAAGGGTATATTTAACAATATCATTCGGTTAAGACAACCGGAATTCTGGTTCTTTTAATTGAAATTTATTTTAAGTGTAATAGAATTCATGATCGAAAATCACATCCATATCATCAGTAACTAGTGTTATCAATCACTTGTTTGTTTAAAAAAGGCGTGCCTCTCCCTTATTAGGGCTAATTACGTTTCTCCAATATTTATCCTTTCACATGACACCCTCTATATATGGGTAGAATAATTAAGATGGACAATTGGATATTTCCCTTCACAGAAAGATAATTAAAAATTCCCAAGTCAATAGTAACCCGATGTACTTACACGTTTTGGAGATAGTTTAACGGAGAAAAAAAATAGCTATATCTGTAACAAAAACCAATTTGGCCCTTTTAGATTAATCATCATAATTTTTCATCGAATTTTAATATATTTATCATTTGTACCAAAAGATATGACAGCATCTTCGAAGAGAAATATTCATCTGTCCATTTTATTTGTTATATCCTGTACGTGTATGAGTAGACTGATGATTTATTCCAGTGACAGATCGTGTCATGTAGATGCAATGATATTTCTGTTGCCAGTCAGCTGCTCTTTGCAGATTAATTTATTTTTCTTTAAACCGCTACGAATAGAATAAGGGGATATTAACTAAGCAAACTGCAAAACGATTCCGTAGATTTAAGGATGCATGATAAAACGAGTACGAATGAGTGATAAGAATGATATCGATAGAGAATGCAGCAATTTTCTACATTATTCCTATATTATGTTTCTAGTTCTTTTTTTCATCGAAACAACCTAATTGCTTTCAATTTTTTGTAAAATTATGTGGACATTCGGCACAATTTCCTTAATTTTGCATATTATGTGAAAGATATTTCAAGTCGTGTAATATTTATCTGTTTTCTGATTCTAAATTCTTGCGTGAATGCAAATACCGAGTACGCAATGTCATTTAATGTACCAGAACAAATATTCTTCATTGTTAACTTTTAACAAATGACTGCATATATATACATTGACAAAGCGTTTAAGTTAATTACAATATTCGAATTGATTCCAAATACAAACCGTAAATCATTCTGTGAATGTATAATTGTGTTACATATTAGTGAGATAAACGTTATCGTTAATGACATGGTGGGCAGCTGTTATTGTTACCGATTCTAAAGTTTTGAGTGTTCGTCAAGCAATGATGGCTGAAGACACCAATTGACTACGTACATTGGCTATGGAATAGACATTAATGATGTTATTTTATGACTTTACTGATGGTATAAGTTATAAACTGAAATAACCTCTGAATAAATCTGTATATTTTACATTCGATAATATTGTTCCGAGATATAAGGTCCAAGGTACAATTGTATAAGGGCTGTAATAAATGAAAAAAAAAAAACAAATTTATATGTCATACATTTTCTTCACAAATTGTAAAATTGGTGACACCACTTCAAAGTGTTTATTTGTAGTTCCTAATTTTAGACATTTTCATCATTTTCGGCACATATATTACACAGTCAATATAAAAACTACTTCCAAAGTTGTTTCGCTCGTTTGTTCAAATGAATTAAACAAGTTTCCCTTATATTTTAAAAAATTTAATAGACGTTTGTTTCTATTAGGTATTTTGTATCAATCGTCTTCACTATCTACATCTTCAGGAGCCGAAGAATCTTCATCTTCTGGAGCTTTTTTATCCCAATCTTTCAGTTTCGCTCCCATTGTAAAATCATCTCTTAGAACACTCCACAGTTTACCATCCTCCTGAAAAGACCAAGTATGTATTTAAAGGATTTAACACTTTATTTTAGCTACTCGTGTGATCCAATAAGGGGCGATTGAATAAAAATGATATCTTACATTTGATTGCCGAGGTTTGGTGTGATTATCTTTTTTAACTGGATTATCTACAGGAATACTTTTCGATTCACCCATTAATACATCCAGGAAAGCGCATTTGTCTATACTTTTCAAAACCTTTTCGCGCTTTCGTTCTGAAGGACCTGCTGTAAATAATCTTTTGTCTATTTCTATCTGCTGTTGCCTTACGACATTGAATAACTGAACGACACCTCTGTAAAATTATGCAAAACATTATATACAGATAAGATCCGGTACAACATTCAATCATTGATGTAAATACAGCAATATATTTGCCGATGGTTCAAGTAAAACATCTAATAATAGTTGCCAGATTGGCCAAAATATATAGATTAAATGCTGATGTTGGTACATGACAGATTTTCTTATTTCATGTGTCAGTCCATGCCATGTAACGTAAAACTGCCCTAACTAAATAAAAAATGACCCGTTTTATTTTTACTCAATTACGTTCTTTTCAAATTTCATATTATCTTAACATTCATAGTGTAAATATATTATCAATTGCATTTAAATGAATAAAAAATGCTAATGCAATGGCTGGACAATAATCTTCTAAAATAAAACTAAAAGTATCGAATAATTGTAATACTTTGTGGCTATTTTCTGCAACCTCTTCTCCCTCTCTCTGTCTGATATCGATGGCTTCACACGAATATTTACGTTCACATCCTTTTTATGCTTTTTGGTATCCTTCACTGGTTTACCTACTTCGGTACTAGCTTTCGAATCTAGTTTCTCATTTTTTATTTCACCATCTTGTCCAGCAATTTCAAAAGGTACACTATCTTCCTTTTTCTTTTGAATCACATCGCATAGTTTTTTAGCTTTCGACAAGACGATAGTTTTCTTTCGTTTGGGTTTTTTCGTCCTCAAAATTTTCTGCATAGCATCCGCCCAGCTTGGGTTTCCGATTACATTATCTGCATTTTCTGTAGTATCAAGGGTATCTTCTGAATCCATGTGATTTTCCTCGCCAATTTCTGAAATGCCGCTACTTTCCTGGTCAGATTCGTTGACTCTCTCAGAATCATTATCATATGACACGTCAACATCCTCGGTCTTTTCTGATGATCTCAAAGAGTCTTTTTGTTTAAACTTTTTAACTGAAACATACCAGCGAATGACATCCTGATCAAGTAACAATGCAATTGATATCCCTAATTCCAAATGAAACATATTTTAAATCTAACGAAACGTATAAAGAAGATTGCTTATCATAACATCAGTTCATAACCTCAAATGTCTTCTAGGTTAAAATGTATATCTTATTAAAATAAAACGCACCATTCTTCTTTTTCGACGATTTAACGCGTTTTGTAGACTCTTTTAAGGTAACCATGGTAATTAATGTAGATAATTACTTCAACATTCGTTCAAATTATACAAAATCTCCTTAACCTGTTTTCAAACAATCAAGTATTCACATGCGCGAACTTGTAGAATTCAACTTGTATACGGTGTCCCACATTTATCGCCCATGTTAGAATACGAATAAATGGAATTATAATTTATCAAACACCCTGTAGTTACATCGGGCGAGGAATTTATCATTTATTAGAACACCACATAGTTACAAAATCTTGAAATACTCCGGAACGTGCTGCCGCTATGAGGATCTCTACATCAATTAAATTCATTTTCCTTTCCATGGTATCCACATGGAAATTTAATTTTTTAAATTAAAATCTCTTGGTGTATCAACAATTTAAACAAACTAACTCTAACTCAATCTTATTTTAGTATATTTATAACATGATATATGAATTCATAAGTGTTCATTCGTAGAACTTTAAATTCAGCGTAGATGTTCACCCTCAATAAATAATTATTATTAGGCCGCTGGATAACTGTAATAATGAAGGTCAGAGATAATTGATTTTTAGATATTTGTGAGGTTATTTATTAACTCAATATGTGTGTGACGTAAGTGTCTCTACTTCGTAGGAGGAAAAAGAAGTAAAATTGTGACTACAGCGCCATCGTGCAGTGGGTTACCTTACGAAAATATTACTCAATTTCTGATGTATCGACCGCGCATGTTCTGTTTCTATGGAAGCCTCCAAATTCATTGCAAGAGTATGTCTTCTTGTCTTCTTTCTATTCGTATCATAATATGACATAACTGGTCCTTTCTAACCTATTTTCGGTTCGTTACAACTAGGTAAGGATATAGTGATATTTCGTCGGTTTTACCGTATTTAGCGTGTAGTTCTAAATAAAATAATTAAACAATTAAACGTAATTAAAATCATTTAGAATTTATAGCTTTCAAAGATACTGAGTCTTGTGTGTGTATGTGTGTGTGTGGTCAGTACATTTAATTATGTTGTCAAAATATAATTTGAGATACTAACGTATGTGTGAACTATTTTCAATTCAATTTGTGGAATACTAATCAACCTATTCACATAGTATATTATTGTAAAGAAATGCAAATTCTATTATGACGATTCAAATAATTCAGGATTTCTTTTAAGCACGGATAGCGTAACCATGGAATCCCCTTCCGGTGGCGTTGCGCCTATGGCCATAGCAGGCCGTATGGTCAGGGAACGAGAACGTCTTATTGGTATGACCGACGAAGAGAGAGCGTGGCGGGCCCAATGGCTTAAGGATCAAGTATTAGCCCCGGAGGAACCTATCGTACCAAAAGGTTATTATGAAGCAAGATATAATCCTATCAGAAGATTTTATCGGGCTCCTCTAGAAAAACTACAGCAATCTCTGGTTGGCTCTGTGGTATGTTTACGTGTTAATTGGCTCTTGTTTATATGTATTTAAATTGAATGTGTAAGCTTATTTTATTTCACATCATTGAAATAAATCTTCTATCATTTACTGCAGGGTTTGCATAAAGCTGAGTTTATTCGCCACTTCATTGGAAAAACTGGATTAATTATATTAGGACTTTGGAGTATAACTTATTATTTCAAATACAATACAAATGTAAGTACTATTAGAAACAGTAATGTGATCATCCGTTATTGAAATGATATTCTAAAAATGTGTCGAGGAAAGTCAAGGTATTCTGTTACTAGTTTTATGAAAAAATTACCAGAAACCTGTCAAGAAATTTAATCAACGTTGATAAAAAAGGTTCTAACTCCCTACGTTATCAACGTTCTTATTTATGTTGACATTCATATTTATGTTGATCATATGTGGCACATTTTTATAAAATCTTATTTTAATAATGAGAGGATTAACCATGGAATAATCTCGTTTCAATCACTAATAATCTGTTTTGATGCTAATGTAAATTTATACTGTGTTTACAATACTATAAAATTTGAAGTATTCAATTACTCGATTTCCTTGTAGGATTGGACTCGTAAAGGGGGTTGGAAAGTCAGTTTCTCTCGTGAGAAGATCTTTCCTAGTGACAAAAATTTTCCACACTATGAAAAGCGTAGTAAGCCTAGTGAATATGGTACACATAAATTTCATAACAGTCCCATATAGTCTGTGAATAGAAGTAATTGCTTTTAGGTATACACTGTTATGTAATACATTGTGTTAAAATCATAATAAAGCTTAAAAATGTATCACTTGCTCCATTATGAATCTATGAATCAAAATGTATTTGGCTCGAAACTCTGCCTCGATTCATTTAGAGTTAATGAAATATTGGTCTTGCGTAACTAACAAAGTATGGTTTCAAAATGCATTTGGCTCGAATCTCTGCCTTGATTCTTGATATACGGAGAGTCGTTAGCTGCGCGGCGAGGTTAAGTTTAATATTTTTTTAACGATAAACTACACGGTTTACGTCAAAAACTTTTAAAAACGCGAAATTATCCAACCCTGTGTAGCGCTAATGAAAAATTGGCCTTGTGTAATTAACAAAATGTGATATGAAAATGTATTTGGCTAGATTCTTGATATACGGAGAGTCATTAACTGCGTGGCGAGGGTAAGTTTAATGTTCTTTTAACGATAAACTACACGGTTTACGTCAAAAACCTTTAAAAACGCGAAATTATCCAACCCTGTGAATCGCTAATGAAAAATTGGCCTTGTGTAATTAACAAAGTGTGGTATGAAAATGTATTTGGCTCGTTTCTTCATATTCGAAGAGTCGCTAGCTGCGCGGCGAGGTTAAGTTTAATATTTTTTTAACGTTAAACTACACGGTTTACGTCAAAAACTTTGAAAAACACGAAATTATCCAATCCTGTGTAGCGCTAATGAAATATTGGCTTTGTGTAATTAACAAAGTGTGATATCAAAATGTATTTAGCTCGATTCTTCATATACGAAGAGTCGCTAGCTGCGCGGCGAGGTTAAGTTTAATATTTCTTTAACGTTAAACTATATGGTTTACGTGAAAAATCTTTGATAACGCGAAATTATCCAATCCTGTGAAGCGCTAATGAATATCGGCTTTGTGTGACAATCAAAGTGTGGTATCAGAATGTATTTGGCTCGATCCTTTATATACGAAGAGTCGTTAGCTGCGCGGCGAGGGTGCGCGCATGCGCCGCTGCTCGCGGAGGGTGTAAGCGTAAGCCCGATCGGCCGGGTTGAACGGCGAGATGCCAACGACCGGCAGAACGGTGTTGCGACGCGAGCGCTTCGCATCGTCCAGTGTCGTCGGACGGGGGTGCCCCGCGGGATCTTCTCCTTCTGCCTCGATGAACCCAGGCCAGTCGACGAGCGGTAAAACGGCCAACGGAGCTGCGCAACAGATTCGGACCAAGTAAAGTGCACGTCTAGAGTTTACGCGGGTGTTGCTTTGAGTGGCTAGAGCTTCGAAAAACGCCGGCCCGAGCGGAATAGAGTCATCCCGCGGACAATATGTTCTTAGAAATCGAAATTGAAATTCCGTCGCACTTTATCTTCAGATCAACTTCGAAATGCTTAAGAGACCGTTAGCCATCCCTGCGGAAGACTTAAGTAAATGAGGAAATCCTGCCGACGTCATGGAGGCATTCAGAAAGTGAGCGACTTCCTTTGATTATTAATTTTTCTTTTTTTTTTTATATATATATATATTTACTTCCTGCCGGGAAATGCAATCACTGGGGAAAGTACATGGCGTTTCTCGATTGTAGGAAGTGGGTGAGATTCGCTCTATGTTAAATGTCGGATTTTATTCTTGTACGTTGGGTATTGTATGTTGACTCTTCTATTGTTTGCCTTCTCTCGTGAAACAGGGTTTCTTTTAATTGAGAGGCGCCTAAAGAAGGATTTTAACACGATAAAGTTAGTACAATGCGATATTGTTATAGACTCGTGCCAGTGTGCTTGTAATAATCAATGAGAAACGTAAAGAATTTGTCCTGTCTTTTGGATATTGAACGAAGTAATTTATCGGAGTACTATTTGGGATATAAAATATACCGAGTATATATTCAAGTCCAGTGAGTTTGGTAAATAATGGTTTATGCACATGTTGCAATTTTGTACAATTTAGAGATATTGAAAATTTATAAAACGACAATTTATAAGATGTGGCAAATTTTTATAGTTTATTTTGCAATGGAACGAATCGTTTGGATAAATAATCCAAAATGTGGTGCCGTGTCACCTAGGAGTTATAATTATAAGTGATCAATAGTATTTAATACGTGGGTATAAATATGCTCGCTCAGAAGTGGAACGGCCTTTACGATCAATGCTTTTCACTCTAGTTGTCGCCAAGGAGGAAACTCTAAATATATGACTACTGGGATGATTGTTACTTGTTGCAGAGATGGCAAGGGCGTATGGAGGGGATTCAAGGTGAGGGCACACACTGTCCAGGGTGAACGTCGTTTCTTGCAACAAAATTCTGTGTCCTATGTACGAAGGCCAACTTCTGTTTCAACAACCACTCTTCGGTCTGTTGACGATATCTTTTTACAAGCAAGGCCAGCAATTATCGCTGGAGGAGGGACACCTGAGAAGTCTGAGCAAGCTATGGGGTCCAGTAAGAGAAATGTTCTTCGTAAGTTCTCCGCAAAGCCGAGCAAGGAAGGACGTTGCGATCAGTAAACAATTTATGAAGATATTGAGCCATGGAACGTGGACTGTATTGTGTGCTGCATTGTGCAGTTTCTCCTTCCTTAAGGAAGTGCTGACGGAACCCAATAGAATCGTTGAAGAGTGTGCAGTTAAACTAATGGTGCGACACTTCTATTATTTTGCATATCATTGGGATAATTTCTCTTTTAAAACCAGTAAAAAAATTTTCCACTTCATAGATTTTGTCTTATTATGAACACGATCTATCCTAAATCTTCTGTTTTTATTAAGAGGATGATTCTATTGATGTCGAATTAATTCTCTTTATCTCAGCCTAATGTTACATTACATTCTTTGCTTCCTTATGTTCTCATTGAATTAGTAAATATTCTCTCGATCATTGACTTCATATATTGATTTCTTGCTAGCACTCTTTCATTTGCACCTCTAATTACACGACTCTACATTTCTCTCGGATGACAATTATATCTTCTCTTTTTAAATCTGGAATTTCTGTTTCTTTCTTAATAATTCATCTTCAATTTCTGGACAACTTTACCAAAATTTCTTTTGGCCCAAATTTCTGATTCTCCTATTTTATTAGAATTTGGCCACAACTACTTCCTTCCTTGTATCTAATGTACTTAGATGTCTTTCACTTACCTGTCTATTATGATATTTATTGATACGTGCAGGGTGAATCTTTTGAAAGATTTAAGATCAGTGTGACAATTGCTGCGAAGAGATATCCATTCGTCGATAAAATGCAAATAATGGTCACCATTTCTTCCGCTATTGTTCTTATTGTTGACAGGGTTGACAAAAATCATGATTTCATTAAAGAATCAGCTGACCGTTTAAATCACGATTGAAATGACGATTTTTGCGGTACTAAAACTGTTAAAAAAGATGCATTTTTAGAAGTAAAAATCAGTTGTTTAAAATCGATAACTTCAATCATGATTTTAATTAAATGATTTAAACCAACCCTGGTTGTCGGTTTCTGGCTTCAAAGTCCTCTACAGCTGATACTATCGAGGTCAACATGAAATTAGAGAGATTAAGTTCTCTTATTGCTTCCATTAATGCAATTATGCATTGCAATATATAGTTAAATTTGTGATCGAGCATTGCTTCCCCATTAACTTCCATGTACTCGTTTGCTTGATCGAACAAATGGATGTACCTTCGCACTAACTAAATCCCATCGATACTTGACCTTTCGTAATAGTCACCCTGTATATTCCTCCTACAAGAGTATGTATACAAAGATATTCTTGTTTTTATGAATTAACATGATTTTCTTTGACTGTTTCAGACGAGATTGCAACAGTCGCACATAAAGGAGAGGATAATGCTGGTATATTCCAGATAGGGAAGCGGAAGGAGATCGGGGGGCCATGCAAAATTACATTAACATTAGGTAAGTAAAGTAACATGTTGAAATTTGCTCGGATATTATGTTGCTCATGGATCGCTGTAAAAACGATTTAAAATGGCCAATGATTATGTTGAAAAGAATGTTCTTCTAAATGAACATTTTCAGTCAAATCAATATCTTGCTTGTCTGTAAACTCTACGCAATGTTGTAACGAATTCAAATTTGCGAAAAAACATAGAAATATCCCACTTGAGTGAAACTTCCGTGCATCTTTCTTGCCAACTCCATAATGTAACTCTTTCGATGTGTATTACATCAATAACTCGTATAACTATCAGTTATCCATGTTTGATCTATAACATTTACAACAACCACAAGGGTGTGTGTAACTATTTGTTTATGTACATATAAAGTTGGGTACTGGAGACTGGTTAAAATATTCAGTTAACTTACATACATAATTCGGCAAACCGTTAAAGATATTGAATACATCTACAGCTAGCATTGTTTAAAGAAATTGCGCGGTTATTATTAAAAGTCAGCAGTAAAGATCACGTTAAGAATTATTCGTTCCATTTTGAATTTCGGCGTTATAATACCGTGAGCTACTCATTTTTCACATTTTCGCTCAATTAGCTTTACGTAATAGACCCCCGGAAGGTGTTCCATTTTGAATTTCGGTGTCACAATCCGTGAAAGATGTCGTTCACGGTGCTTATTTATCTATCTCTTCTTGTATGCTTCACCATTTCGCTTAAAAATTTGTTCCGAGCTAGTTCATACAAATGATCTCGCATTTTCACCCCCAAAAAAATTTGGTAATACCGTGAGCAATTCATTTTTCACATTTACGCTCAATTAGCTTTACGTAATAGACCCTCGGAAGGTGTTCCATTTTGAATTTCGGTGTCACAATCCGTGAAAGATGTCGTTCACGGTGCTTATTTATCTATCTCTTCTTATATGCTTCACCATTTCGCTTAAAAATTTGTTCCGATCCAATTCATACGAATGGTCTCGCATTTTCACCCCCAAAAACATTCGTTAATACCACTAGCTGCTCATTTCTCACATTTTCGCTCAATTAGTTTTACGTAATAGACCCCCAGGTGTTCCATTTTGAATTTCGGTGTCACAATCCGTGAAAGATGTCGTTCACGGTGCTTATTTATCTATCTCTTCTTGTATGCTTCACCATTTCGCTTAAAAATTTGTTCC